CATATTATTCATTTTTTTTATAAATATTTTAAATTATAATACACTGGCGCTTCTTTATGAAATGTAATTTAGTAAGTAACATATCACCACGATTCGCTTTTTCGACGGTGGTGGTATCATTCATTCATTTTTATCAAGTTAACTAGCTTGTCTCTTCAGTAGCCATTCCTTGCTGAGAAATGATACACCATTTCAACCCTAACATTTAGTGCTGAGAAGAAATACACCATTTCAACCCTAACATTCATTATTCATCACCATTCATCATCGTCGATTCATCGTTCATCATCATTGGTTATTATAGTTTTGCATTCATTGTTCATTTTCAACCCGTAGTCATCGTCATCGGTTCGTTTCCAACCCTAACACACCAATGCCAATGCTAACATGATCTTCATCGTCAAGGAGGAGTACGAAACAAAATTATCTGTATAAACCTAAATATTCAAATTTACTTAATCATCACGTTTACGGTACGTAAAACGTTTTTCCCACGCACTACAGTAAACTTCAATTTCCATTGTTGTTGTTGTTGTTGTTGTTGTTGTTGTTTTTTGGGTTCTTGTTGAATGTGTATCATAAAACTTGATTAATCTGTTTTTGTTGTTGTTGTTGAATGTGTATGTGATAATAGATGACAGAGTTTGTTGTTGTTGTTGAATGTGTATGTGATAATCTTTTAAAGAGTTTATTGCTGTTGTTGTTGAATGTGTATATAATAATAGATGAAAAAGGTTTATTGTTGTTGTTATTATTTTTGAATGTGTATATGATAATAGATGAAAGAGTTTGTTGTTGTTGTTGTTGTTGAGGTTGTTATTGTTATTGAAAATAGATGTCGACTTTGTCGTATTCTTCATCAAGTGGCAAGGAAACTATGACAAGTGATACTCAAATCAAAAACAAAGATCACAACGAGGTGCCACTATGCTTACCAAAGTAACAAAAGTCCACAAATCTGGTATCAAATTTCCTATCGTGTTTGATTCGTATAATAGAGTTGTTGGTGGTGAATACTCATCTCTTTTTAAGAGTTATGTTGTGTTCCTTAGACGTAGCAAAGTTAGTATATTGGTAGATGATTGGAAACAAGCGTGAACTGAGGTCAAAGATAGCATATGGACAAATGTTAAGGTATTAATTTTAATTTTCATCATTTCGATATGAGTTTCTATAACTTCTTATACATTCTTATTGATTTAAATGTAGTTGACCATTGAGTTTACGGGTGGTGATAAACACTTACAAAAAAATTGGTTAACTCATGCTGGTGCGTGTTAGAAGGGCTTTAAGTCACGGCTCACGCGTGACTACATTAGGATTCCTAAGATTGGTCTCGAGTGTCCATGGGTGAGATATAATTTTCTGGTTTGGAAAATTTTTGCAAACGGTCGTCGTTCTGAAAAATTTCTAGTTAGTAATAGTCTTATTTATCTTGATAATTTGATGGTAATGATTCATAGATACTAATCATATTTTCACTATGTTTATAACAGACTAAAAGTCAAACATGAATTCAAAATAAAGCGAAAAACGTTTACCCAAATAGATTATCTCGTGGGGGTTACAGAAAAATGGAGAAAATAAGGATAGAGGAAAAAAGACAACAAATGGGAGATGAGAACTCCATTAGTCGTGATCGCAACTCATCTCCACTGTCAAGGTATGAGAAGTGGAAAATGGCTCGACTAAGACCAAATGGAGAGTACACCTCATATGCTTCAAGAGCAGTTGCTGAGAAAATTGTAAGTATGATTTTTTTTCCGTATGTTATGTGTTATTTAAATGATGTGGTAATTACAATATTAATATTATCATGCATGTTATTGAGGAGGCTCGTGGAGGCTCATTTGTTCCAGAACCACGACATGATATAATAGTCGAGGCCATTGGAACATATGAGCATGGTGGGTGCGTTCATGGTGTTGGAGAAGGCGTCGACATTAGATTATTCTTTAATCTAATAAAAAAAAGTGCCGACAATGCCAAATTACAATAGCATAGAGAAAAACTTGCTCTTGTAGCGAAGGAGTTAGAAGAGCAGATGAAGATGTTAGAAGACGAATGGAAAAGTCAGAAGAAAGACATGAAAAAGTTAGAAGAGTTATATGTGGTAAGTGTTTTATCTGAAATGCTAGTGATTTATATGAAATGCGTGATATATTGTGTTTAATCTGAAAAGTTAGAAAAGATAAAAATATGTTTATTATGTATTGGTATATTGTCGCAAAGAATAAATGGATCCTTACCATAATGCACGAATGAAAATGATACTAATAATGCTGATGATCAAGTTTCCCAAACACATGGTGTACGTCATGCTAGCAGCAAAGGAAGAAATTATTCAGTCACCCCCGCTAAAGAGGTTAATGAGTTATTAAATCCTTCTGCAAATGATATCACCATGTTATACGTTTTGGTTGCGGAACGTGATGATCTGTATCCTCTTTCTCTAGAGCATTGTCCATCGGTAGAGCTCTATCACATGCGTATAACATTAATTTATACACACACACACACACGCACGCACGCGCACACACACACACACACACACACACACACACACACACACACATGTGATAACGTTGGACATATATGTTCAATGTGATTAAGGAATCTCAAACACGAGATTCATCTGTTATATATATATATATATATATATATATATATATATATATATATATATATATATATATATATATATATATATATATATATATATATATATATATATATATATATATATATATATATATATATATATATATATATATATATATATATATATATATATATATATATATATATATATATATATATATATATATATATATATATATATATATATATATGTTCAATTTTTATTTCTGTTATGTTACGATTTGATGTACATTTGAATTTGAGTGTTGTAAATAACATTTTTGATTTGATGAAATAAATAAGTATTTGAGATCGAGTGTTTTAATATGCATCTTAAATTGATGTTTCTTTTCTGTTACAGTTTAAACGATATAGGTTATAAAATGGAAAATTTTCAAAATGCATAAGTTTATTTTTTAAAAATGCATATAATTTAACGACGGTTTTTTATTATGACTGTGGTTGTATAGTGGAGAATATATAATATAACCATGGTTTTTATAGAAGACCGCGGTTATATACTTACAAATGCGTTGCGATTTGAACGTGTGACATTTTGTATATGAGAACGGTTTGGTTATTAATCGTGATAATGCCTTATGTTCGTTCAATTTGTCCACAACGGTCATAAGACCGTGATTGTAAGTAGCACATATACAACCACACCCTATGTAACAACGACAGGTCATGCGTGATATTATTTTTTTCCAACCGTTGTTGTATATATTTTCCGTAGTAGTGGCTCCAACGTCTGACCACCTCAAAAGTCAAAGAGTTACTTCATATGGACCCCATGGGACCAATGCAAGTGGAAAGTCTTGGTGTAAAGAGATAAGTTTTTGTATGTGTGGATGATTTCTCAAGATAACACAGGTTAACTTTTTTAGAGAAAAATATGACACTTTTAATGTGTTCAAAGAACTATGCGTTCAGGTAAAAAAGAAGGGAAGTAAAATTGTAAAGATAATAAGTTACCATAGTAAGGAGTTTGAGAACTACAAGTTCTCTGAATTTTACTATGCTTAAGGAATCAGCCATCAATTTACAACACCTATTGCACCTCAGTAAAATGGAGTAGTAGAATTCAAGAATAGAACCTGACAAGAAGCTTCCAGAGTCATGTTGCATGCCAAAAATATATCTTATCCTTTTTTAGTTGAATCCATGAAAACTTCTTGCTACATTCACAATCGAGTGACTATTAGATCTGGAACCAATACTACTCTGAATGAGATTTTGAAAGATAGAAAGCTAAATGTTAAATACTTTCATGTTTTTGATAGTAATTGATACATCTTTGTAAATCGTGAACAAATGAGAAAGATGGATCCAAACAAAACAAATTTTTTATGTGACTGACCCTTCGGACTTATCGAGTATATGGTCAATTATTTTCCAAAGAAATTACATTACTCAAAGTAATGAGAATTTCAATATTTCTTCCACCCCTTCTTACGTAACACAAGTTTCTACTTCATATAAAGAAGTTGATAAAGATGATACACATGCAGTTCGTAACGGTCATCAAGAAGGCATATGGGAGAATTAACAAGTAAGTATTTTTTATTCTTTATTAATAATTTATTGTAATTTTTAATTTCTAAGGTTATATACTAACAAATATTTTTATTTGAAATTATAGGTGTTTAAAGGCAAGACACCAAGAAAGAAGATAACAAGACACTAAAATACTATTATTTGATGTAATGATGTGCAAATTGTAGGTTTTGTACTATTTTGGTTTTGATGTAATATACAATTTTTTATTCTTAATTAATGCACTTTTCGCTTTGATGTAATATAATTTTTGGTCTTATACGATTCACAAATGGATGTGTTGTTGTTTCTGATAAAATACAATTCAGAAAAATTTAAATTAATGCACTTTTCGCTTTAATAATAATAATTTAACAACGGTTGCTTAATACAACTATTGTTTAATACAATCATTGTTATAGGTAGAACGTTATCCAAAATAATAAATGTTAAAAATGGTGTTGTTCAGTATCGAATCCATGGCCTATAAATATTATAAATGTTAAAAATGGTGTTGTTCAGTATCGAATCCATGGCCTATAAATATTTCGTTATAGTTGTTCAAAACAATCATAGTTATAAGTAGCGCCCATTTCAATTTACTATAAGGGACAATAAACTGTGATCGTAAATAATGCACTTACAATTACACGTTACAACCATTGTAATATGTATTTTTCATAGTAGTTATCATGTGTATGCTCTCATTCAAACATATACAAATTTTTTAGAGCTAATCCTTAAAAATTCAGATTACATGATCACTCATAGTCTTGTTAATAATTACAACTTGGACAAGGATTTATACTTTACTCATCATTTTCCTAATGAGCAAGCATATTAAGAAAAGAAACTCTATTTCGTACTAAACATCTAAAAATGCAATCCAATCCACCTTCAAGATCACAAACACTATCATTCAATGTCTCCAACACTCTTAAGAGTGCTGCAAAATCAGTTTTCTTCTGTTCCTTCTCTGACGAAAAAAATCTTGAAGGATTAAGCTTTGAGATCAAAGATGACCCTTTTGTTGTTCTAATTCTTGGCATTGACATGAATAACAAAAGAGATCGAAATATTGATATTGTGACCATACTTGCTTCTCTTAAAACTCCTGCTAAAAATATCATATTTTGATCTTGACCCATTATAGAAAAAACCTTAACTTCGTTTTCCATTCTCTTCATTTCACAAAGTTGCTTTGAAATTTCCTTCTTTGCCTTCTTTCTAAAGCAATCATACTCATGAATGCTACTTTCAATGCTTGATAATGAATTTCCTCTTCTACGTATAGCAGATTGAATTGTGTGAACATGTTGTTTAAGATTCAAGAGTAATTCCCGTGACGAACTACATGCATCTAAAAGTGTGACTGAACCACCTAATGAATCTTCCACTAGTTTTCCATTTTGATAATGCAAAAGTGCTTGTTGTGTTTGTTGAGAATGAAAGAGTTCTTCCATGCAATTGTATAATTCTGCAAGAACAACTAAATCACTCTGAATTGTATCTGCTTCAAAAGAGAATGTTCTTGAGAGAGATTGAGAAGAGTTCTGTGGTTTAAGATGGTTTAACAATGCTTCAACTCTTTGTGAAGAAGGATGAATTCTTGTTGGTAAACTAATTGACCTTAATGGTTGATGAGTAGATGATAACATAGAAATTGATTCCATTTTTTTCTTTTGTTGTTTATTTAGAAAAATAAACTAGCACAAGGATTAGTGGATGGTTGTTTGGGAATTATTCAATCTATTTATAGGAATATGGTATAAGAGAGTTAGAGAAGCTTAACTTTGAACTAAGTGTAGAAAGTCAATTATTAGTTAAAGTATTATTATACGTGCATGTGGTGACAATGTTGTCTTACACAAACATTGGTCAGAAAGTGAAGGTTTATGCTTCCTTGTTTCCCCTAATGATGGTTCAATGATCACATCTATTCAACCAAATGTTAATACTATAACATACTAATGCAAGTTGGTCCAATTGAAAAAACATTACAGCATAGAAGCTCTTGTATTTTTTTGTTGGGTGGGTGAATTGTGTTAGGAATATAGGAAAGGAATTTAGCAGATAGTATGATTTAAGGGTAAAGGGGGAAGTATAGGAATCTAGATTTTAATTGTATAGGTAAGAAACTGATTCTTTTTGTCTCCTTTGTGTTTTTATCCTGCATCTAAACAACCGTATGCTTCACAAAACCACAAAACCAATGTACTTAATTAAGATTTAAGAACCACAAATCTAGGGTCGTGAAAACATACACGTTGCCCTTTTACATGTTGAAATAAAATATTTGTTATCATTCCTCATAATTTTGGGTTACTAATTATTTTAAGTGGAAATAATTGTTATATGGTAATTCAAAGTACTGCTATATATGTCACTTGTAGTTATTGCATTAATTTATAAAGGAGACAACATTATAATTTCCATGTGCTGTAAAAATGAGTATCATATGCACCCTGCTTATAATAATGAATTGAAAAAAGGAATTATGACTTAGCAAGTTTGCCATATAATGCATCCTTAGAGGCTTGCAAGTATGCATTAACAAATATTTTGAAGAAAGATGAAAGTCAGGAAAAAAAAAATTGAATTATGAAAATTAGGATTGAGTGAAGTTTTATGTTTCACTATTAAAAAAAACATATTTAATTTCGGATGCGAAATGTATTGAACCTTGAATTCAGAGGTAAGGTAATGAAGGGCATCATAAAAAGTGCACACTTTACCTCTCAGTTTAAAAAAAAACGTCGGGTAAGTGAAAAGGTCATGGGTTCAATCCTCAGGGATATAATTTTGGAATTTGGAAATGACGAAAACACATGTCCACTGGATTTTGTAATTTCACCGACAGGTATACCACATTTTGTTGGGTATTAGAGTAGCAAGATAGATATCACAAAATAAGAGATTAAATGGGGGAGAAACCACAGGTACCAGTAGAAAAGATTTTCACTAAGTGGAAGAAATTACAACGCTTCTCTCTATATACAAGGAGAGAACAAATTACACTCTCTCTTGTAATAGGAGAACACTTACTAAAAGAATCTTATAAGAGAAAATACAATATATTATATCTCTCTAAATTTTTCTTTTATGTTACGTTGCAATGCTTTTGTTGTTGTGTTAGGAATGAGAAATGCACCTCTATTTATAGGTGCTCATCTTCACAAAACCATGGGTGTTTCTTTCTTAGTCCACAAATTGTGACTTTATTCAACCACAATTCTTGACCATAATCTTTTATCATGACCAAAATATTTGACTATGACCATAATATTTGACAATCTCCCACTTAAAGTCACATTTGTGATCTTCCAAAATCTTCTCTACCTTGCCATATCCATGTTGATTACGCCTCTAATAGGCCATAGGAAGATCTACACCATGCAAACTTATCAGGGTTAATCGACTTCATCATTACATCTGCTAGGTTATCTTTAGTGTGAATTTTCGGTATATCTACACTTCCTTCTTCTACTACCTCTCTGACAAAATGGTATTGAACTTCTATGTGTTTTGTCCTGGAATAAAAAGCTGGATTCCTTACAATGTGCAAGGCACTCTGATTGCCACAGTACATAGTAATCTTTTGTTGTTTGTGCCCGAGTTCTTCGAATAACCTTTGAATCCAAATTGCTTCCTTACATGTTTGGGTAGCGACCATGTATTCAGCTTCTATAGTAGACAAAGCTACAATAGTCTGCAATTTAGATAACCAGCTTACCGCTCCTCCTACAAGTGTGAGCACATAGCCAGTAGTATATTTTCATTTATCAAGGTCGCCTGCAAAATATGAATCAACATAGCCTCTGATAGTGAATTCTGATCCCTCAAAACATAATACAGCACCTGATGTTTCTTTGATGTATCTGAGGATCCTCTTAATAACATTCTAGTGTTCATTACCTGGATCTGCCATAAATCAATTGACCGTTACAATTACTTAAGCAATATCTGGTCTAGTACATATCATAGCATACATAAGGCTTCCCACCGCTGATGCATATGATACTCGAGACATTTCCATCCTTTCTGCTTCATTGTTAGGATTCATACTTGAGGATAATTTATAATTGACAGGAAGTGGGGTAGAGATTGACTTACATTCTTGGATGTTAAAGTGGCGCAAAACTTTCTGAATATAATTTTTCTGAGAAAAGCCAAATCCTTCTGTCTTTTATGTATGGGTGAATTTGCATCCCTAAAATCTTGTTTGCTGATCCCAAGTCCTTCATATCAAACTCTCTAGCCAATTGTGCCTTCAATTCTTGGACCCGATCTTTGTTGGGGCCTACCACCAACATGTCATCCACATACAACAGCAAAATCATAAAATCATCAAACCTTTTGTAATACGTACAATGGTCTAAACTTAATCTGTTATATCCAAGGCTCATGATGAAGGAACCAAATCTCTTGTACCAACACCTTGGCGCCTATTTTAAACCGTATAGAGATTTGGTCAACCTACAAGCCAAGTTTTCTTTTCCTTGTTCTTCAAAGCCTTCGGGTTGGAGCATATATATTTCCTCTTCAAGTTCTCCATGGAGAAATGCAATCTTTACATCAAGCTGCTCTAGATTTAGATCAAATGCAACACACATCGCCAAGACCACTCTGATTGTGGTGAGTCTTACCATTGGAAAAAATATCTCATTGAAACCAATACCTTCTATCTGAGCATATTCTTTGACCACCAGTCTTGCAAGATATCATTCCACCTAATCGTTGCCATCTCGCTTAATGTTGAACACCCATTTGTTACCAATGGCTTTCTGACCTTTAGGAAGTTCAACAAGTTCCGATGTGTTATTTCTATGTAAGGCTTCAATTTCCTCTTGCATTAATGTCATCCACAAAGAAGCATCTGGACCATTTAATGCCTCATGAAAGGTTGATGGTTCTCCATCTTCTGATAGAAGACAATATGCATAATGACTTGCCATCACATATTCTGAGTGCCAGGATTGTTTTCTTATCTAACGTGTGGTTCTTCTGGAATCTACAATATTGACCTCAGTTAGTTCTTGTTCTTTATGCTATAGATCTACTTCAGAAGAATCATTTTCTCATGACTTTTCCTCCATCTCCACTGTAGTAGTCTCCTTTATAGTGTTGTCATCTTTTTGTTTCTTTTGTAGTTAATTTCCTACAAAGATTACATCTCTGCTAACAATAATCTTGTAGGTAGCAGGATCCCACAAGCGATACCCCTTCACATTGTCAGCGTAACCCAAGAATATACATTTTCTGGATTTTGGGTCCAGCTTTGTTCTTTCTTAGGAGTTGTACATCACGTACATAGGACATCCAAATACATGCAAAGAAGAATAATCACCTGATTTTTCCTTCCACGTCTCCGCTGGTGCCTTTAAATCATTCGTAGTTGATGCCAATCAATTTATAACGTAACAGGCAGTTTTGACAGCTTCTGCCCAGAAAGAATTTGCCAATCCTATTATTTTAAGCATAGCTCTCTTCCTCTTCAGAAGAGTTATATTCATCCGCTCTGCTACACCATTCTGCTGAGGTGTATGAGCAACAATAAACTGTCGCTTAATACCTTCTTGCTTGCAGAGTGTCAGGAAATCACCATCTGTATATTCTCCTCCATTATCAGTCCTCAAGCACTTAATTATTTTTCTAGTTTCAAGTTCCACTTGTGCTTTAAACTCCTTGAATAATAAATACACATTTGGCTTTTTATTAACTAGGTACACCCAGAGTCTCCTGGAGTAATCATCAATGAATGATACAAAATATTTTGCTCCACCATGGACATTTCGGGCGACTCTCACACACCATAATGAATCAGATCTAGTATGTTTTTGCTTCTAGCAGTTGACTTAGCAAACTTTAGTTTATGACGTTTGCTTATCACACAATGCTCGCAGAAAGGTAAATTTACTGACTTGAGCCCGGGTATGAGATTATGTTCTGCAAGAACTTTTAAGCCTCGCTCTGACATATGGCCTAGTCTGCGATGCCATATCATCGTTGTTTCTTCCAGGCTTCCAGCTGCCACTAATGCATCTGCTCCTTTCATGATGTTTCCCAAAAGCATGTATAGATTTGCAACGACCTTCTCTACTTTCGTTACTACTACCGAACCTTTCACCACTTTCAAGGTCCCACCTTGAATATGGGTCTTGTATTTGAGGTCATCTAGTTTCTTAATAGACAACAAATTCTCCGTCAACTCTTTCACATGTCGTACGCCTTGAAGTGTGCGGATATTACCATCATACATTTTAATTTTGACAGTACCAAATCCAGCAATTTCCAAAGCATGGTCATTCCCCATCAATACATGTCCTTCCAAGATAGGTTCATAAGTGCAAAACAAATCTCGTCGTGGAGCCATGTGTCATGTTGCTCCTGAATCTAGTATCCAACCACTAGTGAGTTGAATTTCGCATTTGGTACTAACTACTACTCCGCTGTAAAGGATTTCTCCATCATCGGAGGTACTAGCAATACACCCTTTAGATGTACTTGCTTCAGAAGACTTCTCACCATTCTTCTTGTTGAACCAACATTCTTTCTTCAAGTGTCCTCTCTTGCCATGATTTTGATCTACCATGATTTTGACTCCTACTAGGACCATATTCCGTTGATCTACCTCTCGTAATCATCAAAGCTTCTATTCGTTTTGAGCTTTCTT